TTTAATTGGTTGACTATGAGGTGCTTACGTCAACCCTGCATGTGATCAAAGTAGAGGTAATGACGTCGCCTAGTCAAATCAGTAATGATGATGTTTCTCCATATATTTCAATTTGGATGTTTTTAAGTGGATAATTAGTTCGGTTTCTTGCAACTTATCATGATGTTTAGGATAACTAAAGTTATCCTCATTATTATTGATCTTTAATTGGTTGACTATGAGGTGCTTACGTCAACCTTGCACGTGATCAAGGTAGAGGTAATGACGTCGTCTAGTCAAATCAGTAATGATGATGTTTCTCAATCATGGTGGAGCTCATCGAGCTGAAGTATGACTTGATCTGCATTATTCGTGGGGATGACATGGAGTTTTATTTGATCTTGTTTGGAGGGTTTTATTTAGTGAAAATTTTTGTCATCAATCCTTGATTAAGAAACTGATATGGGCACTTACCAAAATTTTTGCCGACTAATTATTGTATGATAAAATAATTTATTTCTACAAATTCGGATTTGAGAATTTGCAATTTCTCTAAAACAACTAAATAATAATTCACCATAATTCTAGCTTTTTAAGGAAAAGCAAACATTATGCTTGTTTGGATGCATAAGCTGTTGGGAAAAAAGTTGTGGTTATAGTTAATATTTGACTTTGATCATGAGAAAATTAAAATTTATTCTAAATATGCGCATTATAAGTTAGAAATACAAATATTCTGCAAAACTCCGGACTTCTGGAACCCATATTTACATTTGTCCCACAGAAATTGAATCTTCTGATACATGGATCACTCACAATATTATTATTATTATTATTATTATTATTATTATTATTATTATTATTATTATTATTATTATTATTATTATTATTATTATTCCTATTCCGATTGTTTGATTTTATAGAATCAAAGTATTTTTTTTTTCCATATGGAATGTTATTCCTTCTCTTTATTTTATTTTATTTTTTTGGTTTTCTTCGCTGTTTTTTTTTAATTTTAATTTTATTTATGTTAATTCAAAGTTAATTGCTTTTATATATATTTTAAAATAATTTAAAGAATATGTAACTTTAATATTTTCTTCACACGTCACTCTATTTTTCAGCTATTGCTATCAACTGTCGGCCCCTAAACCAAAATTCCTGAATCCATCACTGTGTTGTAGTCCCACTGGTCCCTCGCACTGTAGGTCATACAAAATGTGTAAACAATAAACAAGTGATAAGTTGTAAATTCTATGAAATGTACAATATGTGTGTGTATTCGCAGCGTAAGGTAACAACTAGTATTGAAAACTGGTCGCCTTTGGAATACGAGTAGGTCTCTTAGTTGACTCGTTCGTGGAGGCAAACCGAAGGAAGAGCAAAAGGAAGGATAACTAAGCTAACATGTTGGAGTTGGTTGTTGGTGGTGCTTTAGGATTCCAATGTATTGCGTCCAAGATTAGAACGAGCTAGTAAGTGGACCACTGCCTTCCCATTCTTGAGTGAGTTGGAATGCAGCCATCTTATCCACCGAACTAGCTAGAAGCTATCGCTTCAGGTCGAAACATTAAAAGAAAAAGACTGGGATACACTGCGGCATAGGAACCACGAACCTCCTATTAGTAAAGGGCATACTATAGAGACTTTCACCGAAATATCTGACAATTTTAAAGACACTCTAACCCTTTTCAAAAATACAAGAAGCCTCCCTTATGTCAAGTTTTGAATAACATATACCTTCCTTGATCACTTTTCATTTACGTGTTAGTATAAGTTATAGAAGTAATGCCTAAAATATGCTTTAACGAGTTTTCATTCATCTTGTGACTCCTTTTACACTTATGTAATATCTAAAATATCATTTTAATAATTCTACCTAATAAAAAATAAAATATTGTTTAGACCATCAATTCTTTAATAATACAGCAACATATACTCTCATTTGAGATGCTTAAAATTCATTTTAGTCTATGTTTGAGTCCCTATTAAAAAGTAGGAAATAATTTAGAGTTTATGTAAAATTATATTATTTGAAGAATCTATTATCAAAAATGAATTTTGACATGATGGAGCTCAAATAGGGCTTTAATATGCCAAAGTAATGAGCACGATTCATCTCAAGTTCCCCAATTAGAAGAGGAAATAATATTGTAACATAAACAAATAATGGACATTTCATTTTGGATATGATTGGATAATATAAATCAACTACTTTATACCAAAATATCAATGCTCTAAAAATTGACCTGATCATCGATCCAGACAAAAGAAACAAATGCCAAAAAGTTGAATCGGGATCCACCAGACGATTTTTTAAAAATTAAAAAAACTCAATAAGGAAAAAACACAAAGGATCAAGCGTTATGTAGGGTCATCGCCTAAGCCCCCGCTTTGGCGAGAGCCCCAAATTATGTAAAATTTAATTGACTAGTTGAAGAAAATCGAAGCTATTCTATAAATTTGAATTATCATACGCAAATACAAGAAGCTAATAAAGTTTGAAAATACAAACATCTCTTGAAAAATCATATTAATAATATAAAACTTATCACATAAATTTATATATTACGTAAATATATCGCAGTCATTACTTTTTCTATATATAATTACTTTGACCTATTATCATCCCAACCATTAGGGGTGAACACAATTCGATTTGGGCGGTTTGCGCTCTATTTTCAACTCAAACCATTTTATGCGGTTTGGAATTTTTTCAAACCAAACCCATTTTATTTTTCAAACCAAACCATTATTTGCGGTTCAAATCGGTTTAAATCCGCGGTTTGTCTATCGACATTATAACAATATGTTTAAAACAAGTTAACATATAAATGTAAACGAGAACTAATAACGTTAAATGTTAAATTACATTCATATTTGTCTAAAATTCGATATATAAACAAAAAACATATTATCAAGTTAGCATTTAGCAACAGGCACTCCGCTCAAACTTTTGTGAGCAATAATATCAAAATAAGTACAAGAGTACTAACCTCTCATTTGATAAAAATTGGATTACTGCTCCCTGTTGTAGAACATGATTCGGCCTCTGCATGATACGCAAATATCAAATTATTTATTAGTCCTTATTAATGATATTAACAAGCAACTAAGAAACAATATGAATAAAAATATCAAAACTGATAATAGAAAATTAATGTCACCTTCTACTGCTTTCTCCGAGTCATTCAATGATTCTACCTCATCCAAATATTGGCGAAACACTATAGGTTCATTGCTGCTATGCAATCAATTCTTCGTACATATTAAGGCCTCAACCATCTTTATTCTTTGCACTCAATGAACTCCTAAAAGAGTC